CCCATTCTATTGATCAATAGGTAATTATATACAAGTATACAGGCTAAATTATCTCCCTCATATCTTTGATATGATTTGGCAATATTCTGCAATAAAGGAGAATTAAAACCAACAAAATATACGCCAAATTAAATATTCTAATTGAGGAAATAATCTCAAGAATTATGCATGAGAGCATAACCCGTATATCATATCCCATATTACCCTCCCTCAAGGTGGAGCATGAGGATTACGAATGCCCAGCTTGTTAAGCAGAGTCTGAAATTGATGTCGTCCCAAGGCTTTTGTAAGGATGTCGGCAAGTTGCTCTTGTGTCGGAACATATGATGGTTGAATGGTGCCTTGGAGTATCTCATTACGAATGAAATGACAATCCACTTCAATATGCTTTGTCCGTTCATGGAAAACTGGATTTTTCGCTATATGCAAAGCAGCCTGACTATCACAGTGGAGGTGCATAGGTCCTTTATGAGAAATGCCTAAATCAGCCAGTAAGCTCCGGAGCCACTTAAGTTCACAACAAGTAGTAGCCATAGAACGGTATTCTGCTTCAGCAGATGAACGAGAGACAGTATGTTGTTTCTTGGTTTTCCAAGATATAGGAGAGTGACCCAAGAACACAACCCACCCAGTAGTTGAACGCCGAGTTAATGGACATCCGGCCCAGTCGGAATCACACCATCCATGTAGTTGGAAATCAGATGTGCTTTTGAGGAGAATTCCTTGCCCAGGACTTCCTTTGAGGTATCTCACAATTCGAATGGCTGCATTCCAATGTTCTTCACGCGGTTGTTGCATGAATTGCGACAAGGTATGAACACAGTAGGACAATTCCGGTCTGGTAAAACACAAGTATATGAGGCGCCCAACAAGGCGTCGATACCTGTCAGGTTGATCAATGTAGCGTCCAGTGGCTAGTCCAAGTTGATGATTCTGCTCAAGAGGTGTAGCCACGGGCTGTGCACCAAGTAGGCCTACTTCTTGAATGATGTCTAATTCATATTTACGCTGACACAAAAATATTCCACTTGAATTCCTTGCAACTTCTACTCCCAAAAAATATTTTAAATGTCCCAAGTCTTTCATGTGAAAGCACTTGCTAAGATATTCTTTAAAGCATAGAATTGCAGCGGAATTGTTCCCACATATGATCAAATCATCTACATATACCAGAACCATCATTTGCACTTCATGGACAAAAAAAGTAAAGAATGAGTGGTCACAACTTGATTGACGGAATCCAAAGTTTATCAAAGCAGATGATAATCTGGCAAACCAACAACGAGGGGCTTGCTTCAAACCGTATAAAGACTTCTTCAATTTACAAACATGGCTCGGTTGAGAAGCATGAAAGCCTGGAGGAAGCTTCATGTAGACATCTTCATGTAGATCACCATGAAGGAAAGCATTGTGGACGTCCATTTGATGCAATTCCCACTTCTTTGTCGCTGCAACAACAAGAACAAGGCGAACTGATAAAACTAGATGAAGACCGGTTGTTGAATCTTCATAGTTCCACCTTCATTCGACCTTTGCACCTTGAGGTTGATTCAATTAGAAGCTTGAAACACCTTTGAAGAACCTTCAATGGTGGAGAAACAACTTGGATGGTTCGGCCACTTCAAGAAGCTTGAAGAAGCCTAAGGAACCTAGTTCAAAGGTTGAAAACCTTTGAAGAAAAACCTAGAGGAGAAGCTCCACGGTTTTAGAGATTTAAAAGAAGAGAGAATTCTAGTAGAATTTCTGAATTCATTCATCAAAAGTGAAGTATTAGGTCATATTTACAAATATATAGGGAGAGGTAGCTTGTAGTGTAAGCTAACATTAACCATGGTTCACTAGGAACCATGGTAAGGTTTAGCCTAACCGTCCATGATTTCTAAAACTTGTAGGAGAAGATAACCTTGACCATGGTTCACTTAAGAACCATGGTAAGGTCAGTCTAACCTCCCAAGGTTTAGAAGCTTGGAAGGCAAGCTTCAAAGCTTGAAGGAGAAGACTCAAATTTGGCCAAGAACAAGGTAAAGAGCTAGGTGGCCAAGACTCAAAAATGCTCACTTGATTTATTTTAAAATATTTGATTTGGTTTAGTTAGGTTCATCATATGATGATGAGACCTATCTAAGTCAAATCTATGAAAAATTAGGAGCAAAATGAGTCTAATGTGCAAAATTTTGCCTAGGCCCAGTTCTGGCCCAATTACTAGTCACACCCTCAAGCATTGCTAAATGTCACCCCTTTTTCCTACTGAAAAAATAGAAAATGAATGTATCAACAAGGGAGGTTAAATGGAGTTAAACTCTCCAAGTAACCCACCCTAAAATCAATATACAATCACTAATTAAAAGCAAGCAAAGTGCCTCACAAATACCGGATGGGAAGAAACCTCTTGGTTGTAAATGGGTATACAAGATCAAGCATAATTCAGATGGCACAATAGAGCGATACAAGGCGAGTCTGGTTATTCTCGGGAATCATCAAAAAGAAGGGGTTTATTATACTGAGACATTTGCCCCTATTGTCAAAATAGTTACGGTTCGTGATAGACCATGGGCCAAGGGCCTAGTCACTACAGCTATGGCTATAAGAGCTCTTCAAAATCCCCAAAATTGAAAGGTTGGGGTTTCTCCCATCCAGTGCCGCTTAGCCCCGCAATAGCCTTTAACGTTGGCCTGTCCAACTTAATCAGCTTTCCTTTCACCACTGATTCCATGATGCCGTCGTTACTCGAGGCGAAACAGAGAAACAACTTGATTAACTCAAGATAGTAGGGACCCTCCATTTCCAAAAACTTGCCCAGTTCTTGGTGCTCTAGAAGGGTTGGAAAACTAAAACCCTCGTTCTTAAACCATTCAAGTTTAAGAGTCTTCGGAGGAATGATTCTCCGCCTGGCGTACCACTCAAAATAGTACTCTTGAGCCTTCTCATCAGCAAACCATTTCGTAATTAGTTGCCTAGAGGGTAGAGGACGTTTGCTCCCCCTCACTTCAAGCTTCTTTGGTCTCTTTGATGAAGATTCCATGAGTGGGTATTGAAGAAGATGAAGAAAATGAGAGATTTGAGAGGTTTTGAGAGGGTTAGGGTTCGTGGGTTTGAGAGAGAATGAGAGAAAATGAGAGAAGAGAAGGTTTATGCCCTAACAGCTTCTGAGTGGGAGTTATAGGAGGTTCCAAAGGTTTGGCGCCTATTTAACCGTTTAATTGTTTTAGGAATTTCAAAAACCGCCCAGATAATCCATTATTTATGCAAATAATCGATTATTTGCATAAGCAAAATCCCTTAAAAACGTAATCTGATATGGATAATCGATTATTTTCAAGATAATCGATTATTACAGAGAGTATCTTCTCCTAACACAACCCAGATAATCGATTATTTACAGAATAATTGATTATTCCAGTAACCTTTCAGATTCCACTTCTTAGATAATTGATTATTTCCCAAGATAATCGATTATTACAGTGACTCTTTAGATTCTTCTTGCCAGATAATGGAATATTCCCCAAATAATCGATTATTCCAGTGGCTCTTAGAATTCTTCATGTTCCAGATAATCGATTATTACCCAAATAATCGATTATTTTCATGGGTTTACTTAAGATAATCGATTATATTTTAAGATAATCGGTTATTCCAGAGAAGTTTTGCTTCTCAGAAATTTTAACTTCTCAAATTTCACCAAGTCTTATTTGTCACTTTAAATACTCTCTTCCAAACATCTCTAATTATCACTCTCAAAGCATAATCAATTCAAACATGATTCATTGATTATTCCCAATTCAATTCTCAAATGGTTGAATCTTTCCCTTGGTAGAGGTTTTGTAAAAATATCAGCTAGTTGTTTGCTAGTTTCTACAAACTCTACAACACAATCATTCCTTTGCACATGATCTCTCAAAAAGTGGTGTCTTATCTCAATATGTTTTGTCCTAGAGTGCAAAATTGGATTCTTGGTCAGATTTATTGCACTAGTATTGTCACACCTCAAAGGAATTTTATTCAGCTCAACTCCATAATCTCTTAACTGTTGTTTCATCCAAAGAAGTTGAGCACAACAATTTCCAGCAGCTATATACTCAGCCTCAGCTATACTTAAAGCAACACAAGCTTGCTTCTTGCTATGCCATGAGACAAGTGCACTACCTAATAGGTGAAAAGTACCACTTGTGCTTTTTCTATCTAGCCTACACCCAGCATAGTCTGAATCTGAG